CCCCCCCCCCCCTTTCTTTTTTTTTAAGATCTTTTTTTTAAAAAAAATATTAATTTAATTTATCTTGGACCTGAAAGCTCCATGGCATGCGCATCATAGTCATCATGATCATCCATCATCATGAAGATGGGTAAATGGTCATTGTCAACATACATGGCAGCAGCAGCAGCAGCATTAGAGGGGAGGTGGTTGTTGTTATTGTTGGAGGAGAAATGGAGGAAGGTATTATGGTCATAGTTGTTGTGTGAGGCTGCCCATTTCTCAGCCACCCCATCTCCTTCCAGCATCCTCACCACCTCCGACATCTTCGGGCGGTTTCCGGGCAGGTACTGGGTGCACAGTATCGCCACCTGTAGCATCTCCCCCACGTCGATCCGGTCGTAGTTGCTCCCCGCTAGCTCCCTGTCCACCAGCCCGTCGATGTTCTTCTCCCTCTCCATTTTGTTCACCTATATATACATTCATTCATTAAATAATATTGAATCTCATCGCAATCTCAGAGAAAAGCTTTTTTATACTCTAACATGTCTGTAGTGGAAGCTCGTTTATTTGCTAGGGTCTTAACCGAACCTTAGCGGGTCGGTCGGGTTTGACCTATTTTTTAGCATGTCATTTGGGGTTCGGACAACTTCGGGTTCGGTGCACAGAATCTTTGTTCAAAATCCATTATTTTCGGGTCACGTCTCGGGTGATCATTTGAGAAAATGTATAAAAGAACCAGTTAAAAGAAGAAGGGATTGATGAAAGAAAATACCCATTCAAGTGCAGCCCCTTTCTGGTTGACAGACTTTCCCAACTCAAGAGCTCTCATTCCAGTAATAAGCTCAACCAAGAGGATCCCGAACCCGAACACGTCCGTCTTTTCAGACGATTGGCCCGTTGAGAGGTATTCGGGCGCGATGTGACCCACGGTCCCACGAACAGCCGTGGTGACGTGCGACTTGGCGTGGTCGAGGAGCTTCGCGAGCCCAAAGTCACCAACAACGGCTTCATAGCACTCGTCCAACAGCACATTTGCAGCCTTCACGTCTCTGTGGATTATCTTCGGGTCGCATTGTTCGTGGAGGTAGACCAGACCTCTTGCCGCCCCAATGGCGATTCTCTTCCTTGTTTGCCAATCCAGAGGTGGTTTTCCTGTCATCATTTTTGTTTCTGTTAAAATATAAGAAACGTTTCCTAGGCCACAACCACAAGCTTGAGCTTTGCTTTTGGTTGAGTTGGTTCCTTGACATGATATCGGAACCTTGTTGACTAAGAGGTCACGAGTTTGAAACTCAGCGTCACCCAGTTTTAACAAAATTAAGATTTCACGTGCAAGACTCGAAAAAAACTACGCCTGCACGTGAGGGGGCGTGTTAGAATATAAGAAACATTTCCTAGGCCACAACCACAAACTTGAGCTTTTGGTTGAATTGGTTCCTTGACAGTTTCATCTCAGTATGGAAACTGTATTCTGGGTAACTGGAGATTAAAAAAAACGTTCCATGTTTAAAACGAATTTTTTCTCTCGATTTGGAACCGAGATTCGACTTTGACTATTTCTTATAATAATCACAGGCAGGAAACAATATATGAAAGTGTGATGGATGGTATGACATTTGTGATTTGTTATTTGTACGAATGAAGTTTGGTCATACTAAAGAATAAAACAAGAAACATATCTCAAAGCAGTTGAAACATGGCCCCCATCATCAAACCACATCCGTTTGAACTTCCAAGAAAAAAAATTACCATTTGGTCCCCCCCACAAACTGAATCACACACCTTTTCATACCTAATCTAAGTAAAAGTTCAACGGGCAATGCTTCGAGAACGTCACTTGTGACACCACTCTTGACACCAAACGCAAACACAGATACCGACATGTTTGCTTGTGGAGTCAAAAATGGTGTCACACAACGCACGTACCTTTGAGCCTGGAAGCCACGCTGCCATTGGACATGTAAGGGTAGACGAGAAGCCGTTCCGTCGGGGTTGCACAGTAACCAATCAGGCGGAGGAGATTCCGGTGGACGGCCAAGCTGATGAGTTCGAGTTCCGTCCGGAACTGCGATTCCCCGGCCGTGCCATTGATGTCATTCAGTCTCTTCACTGCCACGACCGAACCGTTACCGAATTTCCCACGGTACACGTTGCCAAAACCCCCGGCGCCGAGGATGTTCTTGGAGCTGAAGTTGTCAGTTGCCTGCTGTAGCTCTTTGAAAGAAAATCTCCTTAGGTTTCCCAGTTTTACTACCATCTCCTCTTCCTGCAAATCTGTTGAAGCATAACAATATAACTTCTTTCTCCCATTGCTAACTGGTTCCCAAAGGAATCCATTGTTTTTTGGTTAAGATTAGCTGAGAAGCCAGTTTGGAAATCGATAGGACTAAAACATAATTACTTTCTCAATATAGGACCATAAGTTTTTATTTCCCAAAGTAAGACTATTGGTCATTATTCAACTAAATGTCAAGCATCACTTAGACATTATTCTTCTCACCAGTCATTATTAAGTCCTATTTAGGGAATAAAAAAGTTTAAGTCTTATATTGAGAAATAACTTATGTGTTAGTCCTATTCAGTGCAAATTTCACTAATAGAAATGCTAGCTCATGGCAATGCCAAACATATTCTTAGAGATTTGGGAAAGGAAAATCTCTAAGCTCCACCAAAAAAGCTTTTCAGAGCCAAATAAGCTATGGGTTTCCCAAAAAAAATAAAAAGGGGCTTATTTATTTAAGAAAGAACTCACCATTAACATTTAGAATGGACTGCTTCCTTTGATTGCTTCTTTTCCAAAAGACAAATGCAATTCCCAAAAGCAAAAGAGAGACAAAGCCACAGCTGACTGAAAGTGCAATGGCATGTCTTTTTGACACATTTCTTCCTGCATGGTGTGCTACTATTATTATTATTATTATTATTATTATTATTAAGAGTAATATTAATATTAATAATAATGATAACTTATAATTATCATCATTGTGTTTTGTGATTTAATTTGATTAATGACATAAAAAAATAGGCAAAAGGAGATGGTGTTCAAAACTTACCCCTTGAAGTATTAATAATGATTGAAAAAGGAATTGAGTTGAATGAACCATTACATGTCCCAGAAGAGAGGCTTCCACAAACCAAGGGGTTGCCCACAATACTGTATATGCCAGCATTAAATTATAATACATGAGGAATTTTGTACTAATTTAATTATTACAAAGAATCATATTCCAAATGAATTTGTTTTGTACACATAAAAAAATAAAAAATTATTATGCCATAAAAACCATACTTGAATGTTCTAGCAGCAAAAGGTGGCACTGGTGGACTGAAATTATTGAAAGACAAATCCCTGTAAGAGAAAGAATAAAGAGAATTTATTAGGTGTTGTTTGGTATGATGCAAATAAATTTTACACAAAAAAGATAAGGAGTCATTGATTACTTTGTCACAGAAAATATTTACCCACTATTCCATTTTGGGCATCTCAAAAAACATTTTCCACTTAATTTATTTCTTTTTTAGTGATGAACTTGTGGCTCACGAGATTTTTCTCTTATTGGAACAAATTCTAACCATACATTTTTCAATATTTTTTCTTATATCGTGTGAAAGTTAAGTTAAACTAAATAAAGTTAACTATATACACTTTTTTCTTAAATCTTGTGAAAGTTAAAACTAAATCATATTAGGTATATTAAAAAGAGAGGAATAAAACTGGAAGTACATAAAGAAAAAGGGGGGAATATATCTCACAAGAAAGCAAGTTTAGGGACCCTTGTTAAAGGCAGAGGTATAGCCCCAGAGAAGCTATTGTTGTTCAACCTCCTGTTCATTAAATGGCAGTAAAAATTTAAAATAAAGGAACATTAAAAAAACAAAAAAATTAAAAAAAATAGAATATTTATCCACAACATACAAATATTGGAGATTGTTTAATAGGCCCAATGTTTCTGGCAAATGACCAGAAAACCCATTGTTGGATAGATCCAAAGCCTGGAGGTTGGCAAGTTTGCCAATCTCTTTTGGAATGTGGCCTGAAATATTGTTGTTTTGCAGCAATCTGCATGAAATTAAATATGGTACAAATTATTTCAAGAATTTGGACTCTAATACAAATGGGTATCTGAATTTTTTTTTCTGTTTTTAAGAATCAGAAAACAAAAAAAAAGTCATAATTCCACCATATATACTCCAAAAAATAGGGTGTTCTTACATTTGTTTGAGATTTGTAAGGTTTGCTTTAAACCCAGACAAGCTCCCAGATAAACCTTGACTTGGTGCTATTCTGCAAACAAACCCCAGAAATAAATTCACTATTTTTTAACCTTTTACTCCATATATAAATAAACACAATAATCCAAAAGAAGAAGAAGAAGAAGAAGAAGAAGAAGAAGAAGAAGAAGAAGAAGAATTAAAAGGATGAACACTCACAGTGCAGTGACAAGATTATCAGAAGAACAAGTAATCATAGCCCAGCTGCAAGGATCCACAGAGTTCACATCCCAATTCATCAACGCCCCGTTTGGATCCTCCAAGTCATTCCTCAAAGCTATCAAAGCTTCGACTGCACCAAACAAACAAAACCCCAAT